GAGCATTCACAGGATGCAGTGGAACAAACTCCACGACCCGTCTGGCCCAAAGGATCTGTTGTTACTGTGCCTCAGGACACGCCCGGATTTCCGTGTCCAGGCCTTCACAATAATAGGCAGGTTCTTTTAATATGCAGATTAGTATGTCAAAACTCTTGAGTCCTAATTATCAGGTACTATGTAAATCAGCATTTATTGATACCGTTGGTCATGTTTCTTTAAGTTCTGCTTTTTATAATTAAATTTATGGAGTTTTAGATGCCTGTTTGGATGGTTTTCTATTCTAATGCTCGTTTCTTTGGCCTTTATTTAACTTCAGTTTCTATTTGAGTTTATTTCTTGTGTGTTCAGTTCCTTCAGTGTTTCCCTCTCTCTCATCTTTACTTGTCTCATACTTACCTCCTTGTCTCACAAGTGGCTGTGGCTCAGGTGGTAGAGTTATCATCAACAAATTAGAAGGTTCCTCGATTCCTGACTCCTCGGCCCATGTACTGAGACATCCTTCTGCTAGGTGACGAATCTGTATGACTGTTAGAAACCACTCAAGCATGGATAAAAGCACTGTGTGGAAATGAAACTTGAAGCAGAAAGGTGCTAGACCATTTACTGTTTCTTACTTCCTGTAAGGTATTAGGAACATGCATCTGTATCACGACTCCCTCGGTTAATTCTCATTTTACTTTGAAGGGTTTTTTTGTCTTGTCTTGGTAGCCGGGAATCGGTCTGCCAGGACCTCCGCTCTTGGCTGCCACCCGACTCACGATGCACCCGACCCCTACGGTGCCTCCTGTGGGTGCTGGGCCTGCAGGAAGATGGGCCCATGTCCCTTTTTCGGGCTGTGCCCGACGGTGGGGCGTTGGGAATGAGAATCAGCACCTCCAAATGTGAGGCCATGGTCCTCAGCCGGAAAAGGGTGGAGTGCCCATTCTGGGTCAGGGACGAGACGCTGCCCCAAGTGGAGGAGTTTAAGTATCTCGGGGTCTTGTTCACAAGTGATGGGAGAAGGGAGCGGGAGATCGACAGACGGATTGGTGCAGCGGCTGCAGTGATGCAGTGCTATAGACTGTATGCAAAATGGAAATAGCTACTGTGACATCACTCATTGAATTTGAAACTAGCACTTTATTAGTTCCAGTGTAAATATTTTGAACTCAAGGTGGAGAGCATGGAATGCTAAGTTATTGGCTAAATCC